CCCCCCCCCCCCCCCCCCCCCCCCAGCGTCTCCTCCCATATGCTGGCCTCCGGCTCGGACGACGGGACGTTCAGCGTTTGGGATCTGCGCAACTTCAAGGCCGACTCGCCGGCCGCCACCTTCAGCTGGCACAAGGGCCCGATCACCAGTGTCGAGTGGCACCCGACCGACGACTCGGTGCTGGCGGTGGCCGGCGCCGACGACCAGATCACCCTGTGGGACTTCGCGGTGGAGGCCGATACCGAGGCCAACACCGAGGACGGCAAGACCCTCGTGGTGCCGGAGGTCCCGCCGCAGCTGCTCTTCATCCACCAGGGCCAGCACAACATCAAGGAGCTGCACTGGCACCCGCAGATGCTCGGCACCCTGGTCAGCACCGCCGAGTCCGGCTTCAACATCTTCCGGACCATCAGTGTTTGAAGCGGCGCTCGGGGCCCTTCCGACGGGGGGCGGCCGGTGCGCTGGAGGCAGGAGGGGGGGGCGGGGCCGCGGCCAGGCAGAGCCCCGCCCATGCCGGCCGGCCGAACGATGTCCGGCCGCGACATGCGCCAATGTGTCCCCCATGCTGACATGCGTGCATGGGAGGGCGGGGGGGCCCGGCGTCCCCTCTCACCCGACCGCCCTCGTCCCCTGTCCCCGGCCTTCTGCCAGAAGAAAAAGCACTCCTGTATTCTATTCCACACGCCTCGCCCGCATATATCCACCCACTAAACGCGCCATTTGCCGGGGCTCGGTGCACGCCCGCGTGTGTCTTGGTCAGAGGAGCCGACAGGGAGCCGGGGCCCGAGGGCGACAGGGAGCCGGGGCCCGAGGGCGACAGGGAGCCGGGGCCCGAGGGCGACAGGGCCCGGGCAGGGGAGCCATGAGCTTGGCGAGAGGCCGGGTCGGAGGTCCACCCGCTGCGCGCCGGCTGGCAGAGGCGCCCGGGCGCATGCCCAAGGTCTCGGCCCTCGCGCTCGCGCGGCGCCGCGGCCCCAAGCCCTCAATCGAAGGAATGGTGTTTCGCCGCGCGCCCGTGCTACTGCATCAGAATTTCATCGCGTGCTGGCGCGGCGCCTTCGTTGGCATTCGGGGACGCACGCGTGTGTGCGCCCAGGCCGGCGCCCCGGGGCCGCCTTCCGCGCGCGGCTCTTTCTTGCTGCCTTCCCGCCGGCGGCGCCCCCCGCGGCCGTCGCTCCCCGCCCCGGGGCCCCGCCGGCCGACGGGCGTGCGCGGCCAATCGGCCTCCCTGCCGGCCGGCGGAGGCGCATCCTCTCGGGCCCCGGATCCACGCCGGCCGGCCCAACAGGAGCCAGTCCGGCCCGGCGGCGGCCGGGCCACCCAAGCGCTCGACACACAGCTAGCACTTGCCCTCCCCCCCTGTCTCTTCCTTGCCCTCGTGCATCTTTCCTGCCCCTCGGTTTTTGCCTGGTCGTCCTCCTCCGC